TGTTCACTTTCTTTTTGCAGTTCAGTCTTTATTTGAGCCAGAAAATCTTTTTCATCATTGATCTTTTGTCTCTCAAGTTCTAATTCTTCTTCATGAAGTTTAATATAATTTCTCTGTTCTTCCTCCTCATCCAATAATTTCTGTACAATTTCTTTGCTTTTCTCAATATTAGATTTTTCTAGATCAGTCTGTTTTATTTTGTTGTCTAGCTCTGATCTCTCTTCTTCTATTTGCTTTCTTTGTAACATTATTTCAGACCTCATCTTCTCCAGGTCATTTCTTTCCTGTTCAATCATATTTCTGTCATCATCCATTTTCTTCTGCTCATGATCTATTTCAGTTTTCTCTCTTTCCAGTTCAGTCTTTATGTGATCAAGTTTTTCCTTCTCCATGTTTGATTTAACTCCCATTTCTTCTTCTTTCTCTTTTTCTTTCGTAATCTGTTCCTGTTCAGCTTTAGTCTTCAGCTCCAGGATCTTAGCTTTGGTTTCTTCTATACTTTTTCTTTCTTCTTTCATCTTTTTCTGTTCCTTCATATAATCTTCCTTCTGTTTACTGACTTGAGCATCAAATTCATCAATTCTCAGTTGTAACTGTGTCCATTTTTGGTTGAATTCTTCTCTTTCTTCTTCTAGAAAGTCTCTGCAGTTCTTCAACTCTTGTTTTTGTTCATCCAGATCCTCTTTCTTTCTCTTTGTTTCTTCAGTGACACTCACAGTTTCTTCCTTTTCCTTTTGTAGATGAGCTTCCATTTCCTTCAGTGTTTCTCTCTCCTTCTTTATTTCCTCCTCCATGTATTTGATTTGTTCTCTTTCTTTTTGCAGCTCTGTCTTACTTTGAGCTAGAAGATATTTTTCATCAGTGATCTTTTGTCTTTCAAGGTCAAGTTCTTCTTTCTGGAGTTTAATATAATTTCTCTGCTCTTCTACTTTATCCATTAATTTCTGAACTATTTCTTTGTTCTTTCCAATTTCATCCTTTTCTAGATCAATCTCTTGCATTTTCTGGTCAAGTGCTGATCTTTCTAGTTTGATAGTCTCTGTCAAGTGTTTTTCCATTTGTTCTCTTTGTGTCACTATTTCAGACTTCATCTTCTCCAGGTTGTTTCTTTCCTGTTCAATCACCTTTCTGTCATTATTCATTTTCTTCTGCTTATGATCAAGTTCAGATTTCTCTCTTTCCAGTTCACTCCTTATCTGGTCAAGTTCCTCTCTTTCCATCTTTGCTTTTATGCTAATTTCTTTTTCTTTAATAATCTGTGCTTTCAGCGAGTCTAGTTCTTCTTTTTGGAGTGTAATATAATTTATCTGTTCGTCCACCTGGTCCAATATCATCATGTCAGACCTCATCTTATGCAGTTCTTTTCTTTCCCGTTCAATCATCTTGCTGTCATCATCCATTTTCTTCTGCTCATGATCTATTTCAGTTTTCTCTCTTTCCAGTTCAGTCTTTATGTGATCAAGTTTTTCCTTCTCCATGTTTGATTTAACTCCCATTTCTTCTTCTTTCTCTTTTTCTTTCGTAATCTGTTCCTGTTCAGCTTTAGTCTTCAGCTCCAGGATCTTAGCTTTGGTTTCTTCTATACTTTTTCTTTCTTCTTTCATCTTTTTCTGTTCCTTCATATAATCTTCCTTCTGTTTACTGACTTGAGCATCAAATTCATCAATTCTCAGTTGTAACTGTGTCCATTTTTGGTTGAATTCTTCTCTTTCTTCTTCTAGAAAGTCTCTGCAGTTCTTCAACTCTTGTTTTTGTTCATCCAGATCCTCTTTCTTTCTCTTTGTTTCTTCAGTGACACTCACAGTTTCTTCCTTTTCCTTTTGTAGATGAGCTTCCATTTCCTTCAGTGTTTCTCTCTCCTTCTTTATTTCCTCCTCCATGTATTTGATTTGTTCTCTTTCTTTTTGCAGCTCTGTCTTACTTTGAGATAAAATATATTTTTCATCAGTGATCTTTTGTCTTTCAAGGTCAAGTTCTTCTTTCTGGAGTTTAATATAATTTCTCTGCTCTTCTACTTTATCCATTAATTTCTGAACTATTTCTTTGTTCTTTCCAATTTCATCCTTTTCTAGATCAATCTCTTGCATTTTCTGGTCAAGTGCTGATCTTTCTAGTTTGATAGTCTCTGTCAAGTGTTTTTCCATTTGTTCTCTTTGTGTCACTATTTCAGACTTCATCTTCTCCAGGTTGTTTCTTTCCTGTTCAATCACCTTTCTGTCATTATTCATTTTCTTCTGCTCATGATCAATTTCAGATTTCTCTCTTTCCAGTTCACTCCTTATCTGGTCAAGTTCCTCTCTTTCCATCTTTGCTTTTATGCTAATTTCTTTTTCTTTAATAATCTGTGCTTTCAGCGAGTCTAGTTCTTCTTTTTGGAGTGTAATATAATTTATCTGTTCGTCCACCTGGTCCAATAGTTTTTGAACTTTTTCTTTGTACTTTTTATTCTTTTCTAGATCAGTCTCTTTTGTTTTCTGGACAAGTGCTGATCTCTCTAATTTGATTGCTTCTCTCATATCTTCCATTTCTTCTCTTTGTGTCATTGTTTCAGACCGCATCTTCTCCAGGTCTTCTCTTTCCTGTTCAATCATCTTCCTGTCATTGTCCATTTCAGTTTTCTCTCGTTCCAATTCCCTCTTTATCTGATCAAGTTCTTCTCTCTCCATCTTTGATTTTACTCTCATTTCTTCTTCTTTCCCCTTTTCTTTCAAAATATGTTCTTGCAGTGTGTTCAACTCTTGTATTTTTAGGCTTATGTCTTGTTGTTCCTGCTCAGCTTTAGTCTTCAGCTCCAGGATCTTGACTTTGGTCTGTTCTAGACTTTTTCTTTCTTCTTCCATCTTCTCCTGTTTCATTAAATCCTTTTCCTTCTGTTGTCTGACTTGAGTATCAAATTCATCAATTCTCTGCTGTAACTGTATCCATTTATTGTTTATTTCATCTTTCTCTTGCTCTAGAATCTCTCTGTATTTGCTCAGCTCTAGTTTTTGTTCATTTATGTTTGCGCTCATCATTTCCAGGTTTTCTTTTCGTCTATTTGTTTCTTCAGTGACACTCTCAAGTTCTTCCTTTTCCTTTTGTAGAAGAGCTTCCATTTCTTTCAGTGTTTCTCTGTCCTTCTTTATTTCCTCTTCCATGCATCTGATTTGTTCACTCTCTTTTTGCAGTTTAGTCTTTATTTGAGCCTGACAATCTTTTTCATCATTGATCTTTTGTCTCTCAAGTTCAAGTTTTTCTTCATGGAGTTTAATATAATTTCTCTGTTCTTCTACCTCATCTAGTATCTTCTGTACAATTTCTTTGCTCTTCTCAATGTCACATTTTTCTAGATCAGTCTGTTTTATTTTGTTGTCAAGTTCTGATCTCTCTTCTTCTATTTGCTTTCTTTGTAACATTATTTCAGACCTCATCTTCTCCAGGTCATTTCTTTCCTGTTCAATCATATTTCTGTCATCATCTATTTTCTTCTGCTCATGATCTATTTCAGTTTTCTGTATTTCCAGATCACTCTTCATCTGATCAAGTTCCTCTTTCTCCATCTTTAGTTTTACTCTTATCTCTTCGTCCATTTGTTGTCTATATTCTTCAGATTCATTCCTCATGTTCTCCAGATCTCTCCTCTCCTCGTTCACAGCTCTTATACTCTCCTCCAGTCTTTGCTGCTGTTGATTAATTTCAGCCTTTTCAGTCTCAAACTCATATTTGATTTCTTCCATTTCGTCTCTTTGTTTTTGTAATGTCTTCTGGAGAACATCCAGCTCATTCCACTTCTTCATCATGTCCTCTTTTTCTTTCTCTATTTCATCTCTCTGTCTCAGAATTTCGCTAGCCTTTTCCTCAAGAAGCTTTTTCTCTTCATCCATTGATCTTTTACTCATCTCTTCTTTTTCTTTTTGTTCTGTCATGTGCGTCTCCAGGTCATCAGCTTGTCTTTGCAAATCTTCTTTTTCCTTTTCAATGTTATTTCTCTCTTTTTTCAGATGGTCTTTCTCAGTCTTAATCTGTTGATTTTGCTCTTCTATGTCATCAATAGTCTTTTCTAGTTCACTCTTCTTCCTCATATTTTCTTCCATGGTATTGGCACATTGATCCATCATTTGTTTAAGGTGGGACTCCCTTATCTCCATATTTTTTTGCTCCCTTTTGATCTCTTCTAAGATGCTTTTCAGATTTTCAGCATCATTCTGCACCTCAGATTTTGTCTGGTCAACCAGTCTTCTTTCCTCTTGGAGTTTTTCTGCTTCAGTTCGGATCACTTCTTGTTGTTCCACCAGCTTGGCTTTCGTGATTTCCAGATTTTTCATTAACTTGTTAGTTGTGTTCCTGTTTTCACCAATGTCTTGTTTTTCTCTTTGTATTTCATCTCTCAGTTGTGAAAGTTCTTTTTCCTGCTTTGCAATAGTCTTCATGTCCTCTTGCATTCTTTGTCTCTGAGCTTCTAGTTCAATCCTCAACTTATCCATTTCCCTTCTTTCTTCCGTTATCTCTCTTACACTTTGATCCAGTCTTTGCTGCTGCTCAGTAATATATTTCTCTCTCTGCTCCAGCTCAGTCTTCTGAATTATCACTCTTTGTCTCATTGATTCTATTTCATCATTTACCCTATTTATATCAGCTTTCTCTTTTTCAGTTTGCTCTCTCTCAGTAAGAAGCTTTATCTTAATTTTTTCCAGTTTTTCTCTTTCTTTCTCTAGCTCTTCTAACTGGACTTGAACCTTATCTTTCTGTTGTTTAGTCCAGATCTGCAGATCATCTTTTTTCTGCTTCATTTCTATATTTTCGTTGTCTATTTCATGCCGTATCTTCTTAAGCAACTCATAGTTCTTATTAATTTCTTGTTTTTGCAGTTCTATATCAACCTGCATCTCTTCAAGGGCATGTTGTCTCTTATTGGTTTCCTCAGGAACATTATCTAAATATTCCTGTTCAATGTGAAGCTGAGCAGCGATCCCATCTAATTCTATGTTTCTCTTCTCTACGTCCCTTTCCTTCCTCTGTATGTTTAGCTCTTTTTCATCAAGAGCATTCTGCTTGTCTTGCATGCGTTGCTTTTGTAGTTCAATTGACTGAATCTGATGGTGTATTTCACCTTGCATTTGTTCAACCTTGTCTCTTTCTTTGTTGGTCATGTATTTTATGTTTTCAATTTCTTCTTTGGCTTTCTGAAGTATTTGCTTCTCTTCATTAATTTTTATGATGTTAAGCTCCAACATCTGTTTCTGCTGTTCAGTTTCAAATCTCTGTTTTTCCAGATCTTCTCTCTCTTTTTTGTTTTCCTCACTGGTTTGATCATTCTGCCGCTGCTGGTTGAGTACCTCGACCTGCCGTTCCTCGATGTTTAATTTTTCCAAAATAAGTTTCTTCTTCAAAATGTAATTTTCATTTTGCTTGTTCTGTATCTCTGCTCTTAAAGCTTCTAGTTTGTTTCTTAAAGTCATCAATTTATTTCTCTCTTCCTCTGTTTCTTGTTTTTCACGAAGAAGTTCTTCCTTCATCTCCTCAAGGGCCAGTCTGTCCTTTTGTATCTGCTCAGTCTGGTCCATCATTTGTTTTTCCAAGTCTTTCTTTTCTTTGTCAATTTCTGTCTTTTCCTTTTCAAGCATCACTTTTGTTTTCTCAATTTCTTGCTTTTGTCTCTCCATCTCCTTTATCGTCTTATCAAGGTCCCTCATTTTCATTTCAGTCTCTTCAGACAAACATTTAATTTCTTCTCTGTCTTTATCTAGTTGGATTTTAATTTCTCTTTCTTTCTCCTTTAGGTTAGTGTCTATTATTATCATTTTATCTGTCTGTATCTTTATCTCAGCTTTTGTCTTTTCTAGATTAAATTTATCGTCTTGAAGTCGTTGATTATCCTTTTCGATTTCTACTTTTGTTCTCTCCAGGTCAACCCTCATTTGCAACAATTCTTCAATTTCTTTATCAATCTTTTCTTTCTTACTTTTAATGTCATCTCTAATTATTTGCAACTCACTGTGAAGTTTGTTAGTTTCTTCCCTCTGTCTCTCTAATTGTCTGATTTCTTCCTCCACTCTTTGCCTTTCACCCTCAATTTCCAGCCAGCATTTCTCTTGATCCTTTCTTTCCTTCTTGATAACATTTTGGATCTCTTTGGATTCTGCTCTTATCTGTTCTAGTGCATTCTTCTCATCTTGTACATTCTGTTTCTCATGTCTTAGATTTTGTAATTGTTTCTCCAGATCATTTTTCATGTTTTCAAGTTCGGCCTTCTCTTGATCCATCAACTTTTTGCTGATCTCAAGCTGCTCTTTTTCTTTCTGTACTTCTTCAGTCAGCTTTCTGTATTCATTGCATTCACTTGTAATTGTTTCACCCATTTCCATTAATTGCTGTTTCTCCTCTTGAATTTCGGCCTCCTTTCTTTCCAGATTATTTTGAATCTCCTTCTTGATTTTATACATTTCATCTTGAATCTGTTTCAGCTGCTGCTGCTCTTCCATGATAGTTTTTACTTTGTTTTCAAGCTCACTTTCCTTTCTTTGCAGTTCTTCTCGAAGTGTATCCAGTTTCTGTTTTTCTGAATATAAATTTTTCTTCTCTTTGTCAACATCATCTCTTTCCTTCAGAATGTCCACCTTCATTTGCTCTAGAGCCTCTTTGTGATTTTGAATCTCTTGTTTCGCCATCTCATCTTGTTCTTTCTGTTGTAAGGCTTTTCTTTCCAGGTCCTCTGTTTCTCTCACTAACGCTTCCCTCTTAAGCTGCAGATGTGTCATTTCCCTTTCATAAACATCCCTGCCATTTTTCAGTCGTATCTTATCATCTTGAAGTTCTGCACTGATTATATTGAGATCTTTCTTCTTGGTCTCTATTTCTGTGATGATGTTCTCTATATCTTCTCGTTGTGTGTGAAGTTTTAGACTGAGGTCTGTTAATCTGTCTCTCTCATTGTTTGCTTCCTGAATGAGTCTGTCAGTGATCTCTGACTTTTTCTGAAGCTCAGCATTCTTTTGTTCAATCAAATGTCTCTCTGTGCTGACCATCTGCTTCATTTCTTCCACTTGCTCTTTTTCTTTGTTTAGTTCACTCTTCATTTCCTGTAGTTTCTCCTCCATTTTTGCAGCATTGTGGAGCTTTTCATCAAGTTTAGCCCTCTCGTTTTCTAGTTCATTCTTCATCTTTTCTAGATTTTTCAGCTCCACATCATAAGCCTTCATGGCAGCACTCACTTCATGCCTCTGTTGATTGATTTCAGCTTGTTCATCTTCTAACCGATCCTTCTCCATAATCAAAGCATGTTTTGAAGATTCAACATCAATTCTCTGTCTCTGTAGTTCACTTCTAGAGAGCTCCAGCTCTTGCTTCTCTTGCCTTAAATTGTCCATTTCTTTATCTATATCTTTTTGCTTCCTCAGTATTTCCATATTGATCTTTTCAAGTGTATCTTTCTTTTTCTCTATTTCTTCAACAATCCAACTTTTCTCTTCCAACTCATGTTTCTGCTTCTCCAGTATCTGCTCTCCCCTCTTTACTTCAGAAGTAATGCCTTCCAGTTCAGCCCTTTTCTTTTCATGCAGGGTTTTCATTTCTTCCATGGTTTGCCATAGGTTTTGTATATCTCTGTTGAGCTGTTCCAGATCACTCTTGTTTCTCAAGAGTTCCTCAGTGACATTTTGCAGTTCTTCCTTGTTCTTTCTCATGTCCTTAAACTCTTCCATTATTTCTTTAGCTATTTCTACCTTAACCAGCTCTCTTTTGGTCTCCACATCCTCCTTTTCTCTGTTTATCTCATCCTTCAGCTGCTCCAGTTCTTCTCTTTCTTTCTGCAGCATTTCTTTCATGCTCTCTTCCTCCTGTTGCTTTTCTGCAAGCTCTGCTCTCATCTTCTCCAATTCATTCTTGTCTCTGGTGGTTTCTATCTCTTTTCTAAGGCTTACAAGATTTTCCAGTATTTGTCCAATATCTTGAATGAGCCTCTGGATCTCAGACTTGAACTCCATCCTGCTCTCCATGTCAACTTTTAGATTTCTCACCATTTCCCTGATTTTCACAACCTCTAAAATTAGTCTTTGGATGTCAGCATTGGTACTTTCCTCATCTTCTAGATTCACAGTTTTCTCCACCAATAGCTCAAAATCCTCTCTTGCACTTTGGACATCATTCCTGAGTATTTCCAGCTCCTGCCGCTCTCTGTTGATCTCCTCTCTCGCCTTTGCTATCTCAGTCTTCATTTTCTCCACCTCATCCCTCTTTCGTATCACTTGTTTCATCTTCTGGTCCAGATCTTTCTTTTCTAGGACTATTTCAGACCTTAAGACTTCCAGTTCTCCCTTCTCATGCTTCATTTTCTGAATCCTTGTTTCTAGGACTTCTCTCTGGCTCTGTATATCCATCAGCTCCACCTCTCTCGTGTCCTTTTCATGCTGTAATATCTCAGACCTCATGTTTTCTAGCTCATCCATCTGATGTTTTAAGTCTGCTTTAGTTTTCTGAAGTTCTACCTGCTGTTGATCCAGCTCAGCCTTCAGCTCTGTCAGTTTGTCCATTTGTCTGTTAATTTCATCTGTCTGACTCTTACTCTCTTCTTGCTGGCCGTCCATGCTTAATGATTCAATTTTCTCCCTTAATTCCTCTGAATCTCTCCTCATTACTTTCTTTTTTCTGGAAGGTTTAACTGTTTGTACTGTGCTTTCTCTAGTTGTTTCTTCTAGAAGGTTTTTGAGAATTTCATATTGTTTCTTCATGTCAACATTTTCTTTCTTCAGCAGTTCATTTTCGTCATGAAGTTTTTGTTTGTCCAATGCCATATCTTGTTTTTGTCTCTCCAAATCAGCTCTATTTTGCTCAAGATCACTTCGCTCTTTGCTCAACAAGTCTTTGGTACTCTCAATTTGCTGCGTCTTTTTTTGTATCTCCTTGTTCTGTTGCTCATAGGTTTCCTTCATGCCCTGTTTCATGGCTTCGACTTCCAGTCTCATGTTCTCCAGTTCAAATCTTTCATTTCTAGCAGCCTTGACTTCATCTTTCATTCTTCTGAGAACCTCTCTGACATGCTCAATTTCCTGGATCAGCCTCTGCATGTAAGCACTCATTTCTTGCCTTTCCTCTGAATCCGCTTGAACATTAACATCTCTCTGCATGCTTCTTTCCAGGTCATGTTTTGTTCTCCAGGCCATTTCCCTAGTCTTTTCAGCCTCTTGAATAAGCCTCTGTATCTTGATGTTTATTTGTTCTTTCTCTTCCAGATCTCCACCTCTTTCTTCCGTATGAGATTGTAGTTCTTCTCCCGCTCGTGGTTTCTCAGCTTTCATTTGATCCATGTCATCACGCTTTATACTTAACATGACTCTGTCCATTTCAAGTTTCTCATTTGCACTTTCAATATCAGCTCTCATTTTCTCCAGCTCATCTCTCTTTCTCGCTGCCTGTCTCATCTTGTTATCAAGATCTTTCCTCTTGCTATCAGTTTCATCCTGAAGAAGCTTCAATTCTTTCATCTCACGTTTAGTCTTTTGCATCTTTTCCTCTAATTCCTCTTTCTGTCTGAGTATTTCCGCTCTCATACCAATAAGTTCCTCTACTTCTGATTGTCTTTTAGTCTCAAACTCTTCTTTTTGGATTAGAATATTTGATTTGATCTCCTCATATTTCTCCATTTCTTTTTTAGCCTCTCTCAACATGTTGTTATTTGCTTTTCTTTCTTTTGCTAACTCAGCATTCATTCGCTCTAGTTGAACTCTTTCATCTTGAATATCCTGTTTTTGAACTTTTAACTCCTCTAATTCTTTATGCAGATTTGATTTATTTTGTTCCATATCATCCATGTCTCGTTTCAGTTGCGTTCTGCTTTTCTCAGTCAATTCCTTTTCATCCAAAAGCTCTTTCCTCAGCTGTTCCACATTTTCAGTGTCCTTCTTTAGTGTCTCCATCAGCGGACACTGCTCTAACAGTTCACCTCTTTCTCTCTCTATGTCATGTTTTTGCTTTAAGATCTCCACTCTCATCTGATCAAGACTCTCTCTCTCTTTCTGCAGGTTTGCACGAGTGATGTCACTCTCCTCAGATTGTCTTTTGAAATGTTCCTTGGTTTTTTCCAGATCCATCTTTTCCTTTGTAACAATCGCTTTGTCTACAGCAATGGCTTGTTTTTGTCTTTCTATCTCAACTTGTATTTCATCCAGGGTGTCATTTTTCATTTTGATCTCCTTAGCAAATTGTTGCCTCTCTTTTTCTAACTCTTCTGCAGCCCTCTGCCTTTCTTTCTGAACTTCTAGCTTCAACTTCTTAATATCCTCTCTCTTCTTTTCTAGCTCGTCTTGCTCATTTTTAAAAGCTTGTTTCTCATTTTGGAGGTTTTCCAAGTCTCTAGCCAACTCAGCTCTCCTTTGTTCCAGATTCTCAAAATCAGCCTTTTCTTTTATTTTGTTTTTCATGTCATCCATTTCTTTTTGTTTATTTTGAAGTTCTGTTCTCATTTGTTCTAGTTCATTCTCTTTGTGTTGTATTTTTTCCTTCTCATCTTCAATTTGAGCTATTTGTCTCAAGTTATTTGTACTCCTTTGCTTCAGAATGTCTTTATCTCTCTGCAAGTCAGTTCTTTGTCTGTCTAGTTCTTCCATGGCTTGGCTTATCTCTGCCTTGGTTTTCTCCAGCTCAAATCTTTCTTCTTGAAGCAAGTCTTTGGCAGACTGAATTTCCTTTCTTTGCTTCTCTGTCTCATCCATGAGCTCTTCCGCCTGTTGGTAGTCCGCTGGAATACCACTGACGTCTAATTGCTTTTTAAATTTGGCTGCCATCTCTTCTGCCCTCCGTCTTTCATTCTTTGTCTTCTCAGATAGTTTCTCCAAGTCTTCAGCTTGTCTTTGAAGGTCGGTTTTCATCCTCTCTAGTTCCTCCTTCTCATTTTCAAATGTGTGTTTCTCAACTTTTAGATTCTTTAATTCTTTCTCCATATCCACTTTTTGCCTCTCCATAAGATCCAAATTTTTGGTCAACAGTTCTCTGTCTTTTTCAACCTGATCCTTTTCCTCCAGTAATTGTAGTCTCAGTTGTTCACATGTCTCATTTTCTTCCTCTAGACTGACTATCTCTCTCTCTATATTTCTCCTCTGTGCCATCATTTCCACTCTATCTCTTTCTACATTGGTCATTTCTGTCTTTGTGAATTCCATTAGATCATCAACCTCTCGCTGTAATAGATCAATGTCAGTTTGTCTCTGGTCCAGTTGACTCATTTCCATCATGATTGTGTTTTTCAGTTCATCCATTTCATGTTGTTGTTGTAAAATGTATTCCTGCAGCTTTGCAAGTTCACTTTCTCTGCGAGAAAGACTTTCATTCGCTTTTTGAATAGTCTCCACTTGTTTTGAGATGTTCACCCTCATTTCTTCAAGAGCGTCTCTCTCTGTCCGCATCTCTTTTATTGTCTTCTCATTCTTTTCTTGCTGTTCTGTAAGAAGTTTGTTGGCTTTAGCAATTTCTGTTTTGATTTTCTCTAAATCAGTCTTCTCCATTTCAAACTCAGTTACTTGCTTTTGTTGATTAAATGTTTGAACATTAATCTCCTCGTTAAGGCTTTCAAGATTACTTCTCTCTTCCTGAAGTTGAGCTGACATTTCTTCTAACTTCTGTCTTTCATTTTGCATGTCCTGCTTTTCCTTTTCAATGTGTTCGGCTTCACTTTGCAGTTCAGCTCTCATCTGTTCCAGTTTGTCCTTTTCATCTTCAATAAACTTCTTCTCTAACATCATCTCCTGTTTATGAGGTAAATCCTCAGCTTCAGGTAAGTCTGGCTTTTGGCTCTCAACATCTGTTTCTAATGCATCTTTTAAGTCCATTTCCAGCATCTGCTCCATCAAGACACTTTTTCCATCTGGATCTGACATTTCTTTGTCTGTTACAGATTTGACTACATCCACGTCACTCTGTTGAAGAACCATTTCAGCCTCTGACTTCTCAAGCAGACTCTCTTCTGTTATGCCAAACCTCAGGTGATCAATATCTCCTTGTTTTCTTTCGATGTCTGCCCGCATTCTTTCAAGTTCTTCCTTTTCTATTCGTAACTCTTGCTTTTCATCTTCAAGTGCCATTTTTTCTCTAGTTATTTTCTCACTCATCTGTTCAAGCATGTTTCTCTCTTGTTGTATCTCTGCCAGTGTGATCTCAATGTTTGTTTTTTGTTCAGAAAGCTGTTTTTCAACCTCTTCCTTGGTTTGAGACATCTCGGCTTTGGTTTTCTCTAAGACAGACCGTTCCCTTCTAATCAAGTCTTTGCCTCTCTCAATTGCTTCTTGTTCCCTTTGTATTTCAGTATAGGTTTCATCAAGAATATCTCCCTTCTTTTTAATTTCCTCAATGAGATCATTGATTTCTTTCCTCTCTTTCTGGAGTTGAGCTGTCATTTCCTCCAGTTTTTGTCTTTCATGTTGTGTTTCTAGTCTGATCTTCTCAATATCTTGTGTTTCTCGTTGCAGGCCAGTTTTGATCTGTTTTATCATTTCCTTCTCATTCTCCAAAGCCTCTCTCTCATGTTTCAGACTCTCTGAATCTCCGTCTACATTTACTAGTTTTTGTTGCAGATTTTCCATGTCTCTCTTCAGCAGTTGTCTATCATTTTCCAACATTTCCTTTTCAGTCAATACCTCCTTCATCTGAAGCTCAACATCTTCAGACTTCTTTCTCAGCTCAATCATCATGTCTTGTTTTTCCCTGATCATTGCAGCTCTTTCACTTTCAATGTTGTTCTTTTCCTTTTCCACTTCACTTTGTTGTTTATGAATCTCTGCTTGTAGTATCTCTAGTTCATCTTCTCTGAGTTTAATTTTCTCTTTCTCATTTTCAATTTCATCAGTTTGTTTGGAGATGTTCAGTCTCATGTGCTCAAGATAGTTTGTCTCTCTTTGTAGATCTGCCATTAAAGACTCATTTGCAACTTTCATTTCATCCAGGATTTTATTATTTTTCTTTGTATCTTCATCAAGATGAACAATATCTTCTCTCTCTTTCTTAAGTTCTTCAGCCATCTTTTCCAAACTCTGTCTCTCATTTTGTGTTTCTTCTTTGAGCTTTCGGATATCATCAGCTTCTCTTTGCAGCTCAATCTTCATCTGTTCTAACTTGTTCTTCTCATCTTCAATCACTTGTTTCTGAAGTGTCATCATCTTTAGGTCTTCATTCAGATCTTTTCTGCTTTGGTCATCTCTTGCTTTCTTCAGTTGCTGTTTCTGTTCTTCCATCTCTTGTTTATCTTTATCTAGTTGTTTTCTTTCATTCCTCATTTTTTCCATAATGTCACTCACTTCTGTCTGATGTTTGTCTAACTCAGATTGTCTCAGATCAAGCTGACTTCTGTCTTTTATTATAATGTTTCTGTCATTGTCTTGTTCTTGTTTCTGATTATGAATTTCAGTTTTCAGTTGTTCAAGTTCATGTTGTTTTTGTCTCATTTGTTCCTCTTGATCTTTATTAATATCATGTATTTGTCTTGTGATGGTCTCATTCATCTCCTTTAGGGAGGCTCTCTCTTTCTGTATCTCTGCCAGTATGATTCCTTGCTTTTCTCTTTCTTTTTCAAGATCCTCCTTGGCTTTAGCAAGTTTACTTTTGATTTTCTCAAGATCATGTTTTTCCTTCTCAAGCATGTCTCTATCAGATTGAATGGCTTTAGTTTTCACTTCAATTTCTGTGTTCATTTCATTCAAGACCATGTCTTTTCTTTTTGTCTCCTCAATGAGATTGTCGATTTCTTCTCTCTCTTTCTGGAGTTGAGCTGTCATTTCCTCCAGTTTTTGTCTTTCATGTTGTGTTTCTAGTCTGATCTTCTCAATCTCTTGTGTTTCTCGTTGCAGGTCAGTTTTGATCTGTTTTATCATTTCCTTCTCATTCTCCAAAGCTTCTCTCTCATGTTTCAGACTCTCTGAGTCTCTGTCTACATTAACTATTTTTTGTTGCAGATTTTCCATGTCTCTCTTCAGCAGTTGTCTATCATTTTCCAGCATTTCCTTTTCAGTCAATATCTCCTTCATCTGAAGCTCAACATCTTCAGACTTCTTTCTCAGCTCAATCATCATGTCCTGTTTTTCCCTGATCATTGCAGCTTTTTGAGTTTCAGCAATGCTCTTCTCATTCTTAGCGATCTCCACAATGTCATGCAGCTCCTTCTGTTGTTTTTCTATTTCAGCCTCTCTGAGTTCAAGCTGCTGCTTCTCAGTCATGATGATTTCTTTGAGGTTTTTCAATTCATATTGTTGTTTTTGATTTTCTGCTTTTAGTTGCTCTAGTTCATCTTGTCTCAGTCTTATTTTTTCTTTCTCATTTTCAATTTCATCAGTTTTTTTGGAGATGTTCAATTTAATTTGCTCAAGGTTGTTTTTCTCACTTTGTAGATCTGCCATTGAAGACTCACTTGAAGCTTTCATTTCATCCAGAATCTCATGTTTTCTCTTTGTATCTTCATCAAGATGAACAATATCTTCTCTCTCTTTCTTAAGTTCTTCAGCCATCTTTTCCAAACTCTGTCTCTCATTTTGTGTTTCTTCTTTGAGCTTTCGGATATCATCAGCTTCTCTTTGCAGCTCAATCTTCATCTGTTCTAACTTGTTCTTCTCATCTTCAATCACTTGTTTCTGAAGTGTCATCATCTTTAGGTCTTCAGTCAGATATTTTCTGCTTTGGTTAACATCATCATTTTCTTTATTAATCTGCCATTTTTTTTCTTCCATTTCTTGTTTTTCTTTATCTAGTCGTCTTCTTTCATTCCTCATTTTTTCCATCATGTCATTCACTTCTGTCTGATGTTTGTCTAACTCAGATTGTCTCAGATCAAGCTGACTTCTGTCTTTTATTTTAATGTTTCTGTCATTGTCTAGTTCCTGTTTCTGATTATGAATTTCAGTTTTCAGTTGTTCGAGTTCATGTTGTTTTTGTCTCATTTGTTCCTCTTGATTTTTAATATCATGTGTTTGCCTTGTGATGGTCTCCTTCATGTCCTCTAGGTTGTCTCTCTCTTTCTGTATCTCTGCCAGTATGATTCCTTGCTTTTCTCTTTCTTTTTCGAGATCCTCATTTGCTTTAGCAAGTTTCCTTTTGATTTTCTCAAGATCATGCATTTCCTTCTCAGTCATGTCTCTATCAGATTGAATTTCTTTCATTTGCACTTGAATTTCTTTGTTCATTTCATCTAAGACCATGCCTTTTCCTTTGGTATCCTCAGTAAGATCATTGATTTCTTTCCTCTCTTTCTGGAGTTGAGCTGTCATTTCCTCCAGTTTTTGTCTTTCATGTTGTGTTTCTAGTCTGATCTTCTCAATCTCTTGTGTTTCTCGTTGCAGGTCAGTTTTGATCTGTTTTATCATTTCCTTCTCATTCTCCAAAGCCTCTCTCTCATGTTTCAGACTCTCTGAATCTCTGTCTACATTAACTCGTTTTTGTTGCAGATTTTCCATGTCTCTCTTCAGCAGTTGTCTATCATTTTCCAGCATTTCCTTTTCAGTCAATATCTCCTTCATCTGAAGCTCAATATCTTCAGACTTCTTTCTCAGCTCAATCATCATGTCCTGTTTTTCCCTGATCTCTTTTTGCAGATTTTCTAATTTGGACTCATGTAATACTTTCATTTCATCCAGAATCTCATTCTTTCTCTTTGTATCTTCAGCAAGATGAACAATACCTTCTTTCTCCTTCTGAAGTTGTTCAGCCATCTTTTCCAAACTCTGTCTCTCATTTTGTGTTTCTTCTTTTAGCCTTCTCATATCTTCAGTTTGTCTTTGCAGCTCTATCTTCATCTGTTCTAAATCATCCGTCTCATCTCTAATAGCTTTTTTATGATATTGAAGCTCCTTTATCTCTCTGTCTAGGGCTGCTCTTTTTTCGTCTATGTCAGCATTGAATGTTTTCAACATTTGGGTCCTTTCCTCAATTAATTCTTTTTCATTATTCAGTTCTACCTTCAAGACCTCCAGTTCAGTCTCCATTTGGTGTTTCTGTGCTAGCATTTCAGACTTCTCTTTCTCAATATAAGCCTTTTCTCCTGTTGTAAATTCCATGATTTCATTTACCTTTCTCTGTTTTTGATCTATTTCAATTTTCTTCTTTTCAATTCTGTCTTTTTCCATTGTGAGAGCTTTTCGTGTGGCTTCCATTTCATCTTGCTGCCTATAAATCAGAGCTTGGAGGTGTTCAAGTTCAGTCTCTCTCAGTCTCATTTGTTGTCTCTCATTTGCAATGTTGTCATGTTGCTCTGAAATACTATCTCTCAGTAGCAGGAGCATGTCTTTTTCTTTCTGTATCTCTGCTAGTGTGATCTTGTTCTTTTCTCTTTCTTCAACAAGCTGGGTTTCAAGATCCTCCTTGGCTCTTGCTATATCTGTCACAGTTTTCTTCAGCTCAAGTAGAGCTCTTTCCTGCATCTGTTTATTAGACTCATTTGCTTTCCTTTGCAATTCAGTTTCCTGATGCATATTTTCTAGTGTCACTTTTTTCCTGTCAAGTTCCTCTGCAAGACTCTCAACATTATCTCTATCTTTCTTAAGTTGGGTTGTTGCTTCCTTAAGCTTCTGTCTTTCATTTTGTGTCTCTACTTTAATCTTTTCAATGTCTTCGGCTTCTCTTTTTAGATCTGATTTTATCTGCTCAATCCTATCTTTCTCATCCTCAATCATTTGTTTCTGAAGCTTAATATTCTCCAACTCTTTCACTACATCAAGCTTTGTTTGTTCCAAAGTATCCATGTCTGTTTTTATGCGTTTCCTGCAGTTGTCAATTCCTTCCTTTACATCACACATCTCCTTTCTGAGCAGCTCTAACTTTTCACTCTCCATTTTTAGTTCTTGCCTCAAATTTACCTCCATATGTTGTTTTTGATTCATCAATTCTGCCTTTTCTCTCTCAATATCATCCCTCTCCTTTTTAACCTGTTCTTTGGTTTCATCTGTCTCTTTTTTCTGTTTATCTATTTGAGCTTTAATGTCTTTCAGCCCACTCTTCTCTAGTGCAATCATCACCTTCTGCTCATCTATCTCTGTTTGCTCTTTCTGAATTTCCATTTTTAGACTTTGCAGTTCTGCTTGTTTGTATCTTGTTTGTTCAGTGTCCTTTTCTAGATCATCTCTCTGTTGTGATATGTTCATTCTTAACTGCTCAAGAATGTGTTTCTCTTTCTGTATCTCTGCCAATGTTACCTCATTTTGTCTTTTATGTGATTCAATTTGATTCTCAATATCTTCTTTGGCTCTGGCTATCTCTGCTTTAGTTTTCTCCAGGTCAGACTTGTCCTTTTTAAGAGTGTCTCTATCAGATTCAATTGTTTGTTTTTGTTTTCTTAGATCTCCTTCCTCTGATCTTATCCTGGCAAAAGAAATCTCTATATCTTCCTTTTCTTTTTGAAGTTTGATCGTCATTTCCTCAGCCTTCTGCCTGCCATTTTCTATGTCTTGCCTTAGTTTAGCAATAATTTCCTTTTCTTGTTGGAGCTCATTTTTCATCTTATCAAATTCCTGCTTTTCTTTGCCAGTCAATTGTTTCTGGTAGTTTAAGGTCTCAAACTCCTCAGCTAATATGGTTCTATTTTCTTTTATATCCTCTAGATCTTTGTTCAGTATTTGCCTGCTGTTTTCAATAGATTCTTTTTCGCGGAGAACTTCTTGTTTCATCAGCTCCACTGTTTCACTTTCCCTCTTCAGTTCTACTGCAATGCCATTCACTTTTTGTCTTTCTTCCATTACATTAGTCCTCTCTTTTTCAAGTCTGTCCATCACATTCTCTAATTCTCTCTTTTGCTTTTCCATTTCAGCCTGTCTTTCATTAAGCTGACTCTTTTCTTTCATGATAACATCCTGAATCTGTTCTATTTCTTTCTGATGTGCATGAAGTTGTGATGTACATATATTCAGGTCATTTTCTTGGTGTCTCAAACTTTCCTTCACTATTTTAATACCATGTTCCTCTTGTGAAATGTTCATCTTCATTTGCTCAAGGGAATTTCTCTGCTTCTCCATCTCTGACCGATCAATATCATTAATTTTTCTCTTTTCAGCAAGATCATCGTTTGCTCTAGCTATCTCTCTTTTGCTTTTGTCCACTTCAAACTTCTGGTTTTCTAGTATATCTTTTTCAGTCCCAATGTCTTGCTTTTGTTTTTCTAGCTCAAGGCGCATCCTCTCCAGAGCTTCTTTTCTGTCATTTCCCTCATGTTGAATTTGAACTGCCATGTCTTTTATACTCTGCTTTTCAGCTACAACCTCTTTCTTTATTCTCTCAGTATTGTCAGCCTCTTTCTGAAGGTCAGCTCTTACCTGCTGTATCTCTTTCTCAAACGATTGCCTCTGAAACTGCAAGTTTTCAAATTCTTTGTGCAGTTTGGCTTTATTTTTCTCGATGTCTTCCTCATCCATTTCTAGTGATTTCATGCGGCTTTCAAATACTTCTTTTTGCTCAATTAAATATCTCTTTTGGAGCTCCACATTTTCATATTCCACCCTCAGTTCTTCTCTCAAATTCTCCATTTCCTGTCTCTCTTTCTCCAGATATGTCGCGTCTCTATCACTTGCAGTCTTAACGTATTCTATTTTTTCATGTACAACTGTCCATTGTTGATCTTGGTCAGCTTGCATCTGCTCAACTTGCATCTTTTCCATTCTTAAACTGCTCTTCAGCTCATCTATTTGTTTTTGTTTGTTTTCAATCTCTGCTTCTTTTTGTTTCAGTTCATTTTCTCTCCGTCTTAAATTTTCTTTATCACTTTCAACAATGCACCTTTGATTTGTGATGGTTTCACTCATCTGCGCAAGATTGTCTCTTTCTTTCTCTATCTCTGCCAGTATAATAATGTTCTGTTCTTTTTGCTGAGCAAATTCATCTTTGAGATCTCTGAGCTTAGACTTTTCCTGTTCTAGAACATCTCTCTCAGACTCAACATATCGCTTTTCTTTTTCAACCTCCATGTGCATCTCATCCAGTGCTTTTGACCTCTTTTCAATCTCTTCAACTAGACTATCAGTGTATTGTCTTTCTTTTTGAATTTTGGCTTCCATGTCTTTTACGTGTTGTATGTCATTTTGAACAGCTTGTCTTAAATTTTCAATGACACCGGCTTCTTTTTTCAGATCAGCCTTCATGCCCTTCAATATCTCAAATGTTTTTTCCTGCTTTTCTGCATCAGCTTGCATTCTATCTAGGTCCTCTCTCTTTCTTTTTGTCTCCTCTGCAAGGCTCACAATGGCATCTCTCTCTTTCTGAAGTTGCACAGCAGTGTTTTTAAGCGTCTGTCTTTCAGCTAGTGTATCTCGTCTTAGCTTCTCAGTATCTTCAGCTACTCGTTGCAGCACAGATTCAGTCTGTTCCAACTTGCTTTTCTCTTCTGCAATACTTTGTCTTTGTAATTTTATCTCCTCTGCCTGACTACCCAAATTGATTTTCTTCTTCTCCAGATCTTCTATATCTCTGATTAAAGCTATTCTGCAGTCCTCAATAAGTCGCTTCTCATTTAGTACCTCTTTTTTCACAAGCTCCACAGTTTCTAGTTCTCTGTTTAATGCATCTGTCAAGTTGCTCTCCAACTGCTGCTTCTGTTCCATTATAGCCGCCCTTTCTCTGTCAAGATTGTCTTTTTCATTTTGTGTGAACTGCCTGATGTCTTCCACCTGTGTTAGCTTTTCGGCTATTTCATCTTGGCTTTTCTGAAGTTGACTTTTTTGCATTACAACTATATTCTGAATATCCTGCATGTATTTTTGTTGTCTGTTAAGATCAGCCTGCATTTGCTGCAGTTCATTTTCTCTTTTCTTTATTCCCTCCTTCTCATTCTCAAAATCATCTTTTTGCTGTAAAATGAGTTCATTTATTTTCTCAAGAGTGTCTCTCTCCTTTTTGATCTCCTTCAGTGTCGGCTCATTCTCCTCTCTCAGGTTCTCTAGATCTTTCTTTTCTCTGGCTATTTCTGCTTGTATTTGTTGCATATCACACATTTTCTTTTCTAGTTCCTCCCTCTCTTGTTTAAGCTGCTCTGCCCATTTCTCCATGTTCTGTCTTTCTTTCTGCACTTCCTGGTTTAACCTTTCGATATCACTAGACTCTTTTTGCAGCTCATATTTCATGTTCTGTAACATTCTCTTTTCATCCTCTATCCTTTTTCTCTGAGCTTCTATGTCTTCTAGTTCTCTAGCAAAAGTGTATTTTAGGTCAGCCTCCATGGTTTGCTTTTGTTTTTCTATATCCTGTCGAATGTGATTTAGGACATCTCTCGCATTTTCTAATTCTGTTCTTATCATGTTGTCTTTTTCTCTGCTTTCTGAAATCTCCGTCTGCAGGTCATCCCCTCCTTTCTGTATTTCTAGCTTTGTCTTTTCCAGCTCATCTTTTGTTCGTTCTAGCTCCTGTTTTCGCAGCTCTAATTGTAACTCTATGTCTGCTGTGTTTTTTGTTGCAGTTTGCAGTGCGGCTTCTTTGAGTGAAAATTCATCCTTGCTCAGTTTTATTTCTGCCAGTTGTCTCTCAATTGTACTTTTTTGTGCAAGTAAGTCTTCTTTAAAATTCTCCAGAGCTTGTCGCTCTTTATCCAGCTCCTTCATAGTCAAGATCATCTGATATTTTCCTACATCCTCCATCACATCAGTTTGGACTTGTACATCAACTTGTTTAATCTCCATCAATCTTGCTTTTTCCAATTCACATTTCTCTCTCTGTAGATTTACTTCCATACTCTCTAGTTCTTGTTTTCTTTTATCTAGCTGCTCCTTCTCTTTCCATATTATATCTAAACCTCTCTGGTTTTCTTCTCTCTCTGATTGCAGCAGTCTTTCCCAGTTTTGTAGACGTGCTCGTTTCTTTTCCATCTCTATTTCTATCTCTTGTAATTTTGTCATCCTCTCTTCAGCTTCATTCTTTACCACTCGTACATCCTCCTTTGTTTTCTCTAGTTCATGTTTCTCTTTTAAAATGATTTCTATATATTGTTCCAGTTCTTGTCTTTCTTTCTGAACATCACTCACAAAGTCTTCCACTTCAATGGCAGCTGGTTCTTCTGTTTTTGCATACTCCTGGCTCTCGGTTGGAATGATGGCAGGCTGAACCTGAAATAAATGGTTCTTGTTTGCATTTGCATCTCTGTCCCAATATTTTTTTTAGATATACAATGTGTACAGTATACAGTTATTCTGAACTCTTTGTCTAATTCGTTTTCTCGTTTCACTCAAGATTGTCATGTTTAACATCCTTGTAAAATAGGTTATGGATGCTTCATGTTGACTTTAAGAGTCCATTTGCTGCCGACAATATTGATAATACAGATAATATAATGACACATCTGTTAAATGCAAGTAAATTATGGCTTACCTTTTCTTTGCCTGTCTTTTCTAGAGCAATGCGTTCTTTCTGTCTCTTTATCTCTTCTTTGGCCTGTTCTATGTCCTCCAAAGCATTTTTCACATCTTCTCTCATCTGCTCCACCATATCATTCTCTTTAATGGTCTCCTCCAGCCTCTTCTCCAGTTCTTCTCTTTGCCGCTGCATCATATTTCTCACGAGTTCTAGTTCGTCCCGTTCTCTCATAATCTTTTCTTCCCTGTATTCAATCTCTCTTCTCCTTCGTTGAACTTCATTCTTCAGTAGCCTCATCTCATCCCTGTCTCTCGTCATCATTTCCTTGTTGTGTTCTACCTCAGCCTTAAGACCTCGCAGCATTTCCCGGATGTGTTCAATCTCCAAAATGAGCCTGTGCATCTCAGCATTCATCTCCTCTTGGTCTGTTGTCTCCATCTGACTTCCTGCCATTCGGCTTTCAATCTGGAATTTTGCTTTCCGCACCATTTCTCTCGTCCCCTCAATCTGCTGAATAAGGTTGATTATTGTGAGGTTCATCTGTCCTTTCTCTTCTTCTAAATCTCTCTCCTCCATCCTAAGTTCAAACTCCTCTCTCGCTCTTTGGATTTCAGCTTTAACTTGCTCCATTTCATATTTCTGCCTCTCCGTCTCCGCTCTTTTCTGTTCCATCTCGTCTTTTGCCTTTTGTATCTCCATCCTCAGTCGTTCCATCTCATCCTTCTTCCTCATGGTCAATTTCATCCTTTGGTCAATTTCTTTCTTCTTCCCTTCCATTTCTCTCTTCATCAGCTCCATTTCTCCAATCTCGCGTTTGGTTTTCTGCATCCTTTCCTCCAGCTCTTCTCTTTGTCTTTGTATTTCCTCTTTGACAAGTTGCATTTTGTCCATCTCTGCTTTTGCTAGCTCCATTTTCCTTTCAACATCCTCTTTTTGTTTTAAGATCTCAGTCCTCATCAGTTCCATCTGGTAGCTCTCACTCTTTGCTTCCATCATCTGGATTTCAATGTCTTCTTTCTGTTTTTGGAGGTCTGCTCTCATCTTTTCAAGATTAGTCATTTCCAGCCTTGCCTTTTCCATCTTTACGTCGATGTCCTTCTTCTGTTTTGTTAACTCCATCTTCATTTCTTCAATCTCACCCATCTCCTCCTTCATAGCTTCCATCTTCCTCATCATCTCCCCCTTCTCCCTGTTCATCTTCTCACGTTCCTCATGCTCTCCCTTTTCAGCCTCATCCCACAACCTCTCTATCTCCGCTCTCACCCTGTTAATCTCATCCTTGACCTCTTCATACGTGTCTTTCCCTCTCCGCGTTTCCACACGGATCTTCTCCAGATCTTCTCTCTCATGCTCCATGTCCTCTCTCATCTTCCTCAAAGTGTCCTCTCGTCGTTTTGTCTCCTCTAACCTTTTATTCACTTCCTCTCTTTGTTCCTGGATCTCAATCATAAGACGTTCAGCTTTCTCTCTATCTTGTTGCGCTAACTCTCTGCTTCTGTCCATGTTCTCTGTGTCCAGAAATAGCTGAGTCTTGATCTTCTCAAGTTCTTCTCTTTGTCTCTGCACTTGAGCACTCTGTTCTACATCATATCTCATCATTTCATACCTTCGTTTTTCTAGATCTTTCTTCTCGTTCTGGACCTGAACTCTAATCTGTTTTAGCTCCTCTCTCTCCTTGTCCATCTCAGCTAAACGCTTTTCCTGATCTTCCTTGTCCTTCAGCACAGCTATTTTCATTTGCTCAACAAACTCTTTCTCTTGCTGTGTATCCTCCAGCATTTTCTGCAGGTTCTCTTTTTCAGAATGCCTCAACTTTTCTAGCTCATGTCTGGTTGTTTGTATCTCTTCATTTATTTGTTCTAACTCCTCTGTTTTTTTGTGTATTTCATCTCTTTGCTCCAACGCCTCTGTTATGGTTTCATACCGTCTCTTTTCTGACTCTTCCATTTGCTTTTTTAAGAGCATCTTAGCCTCTTGGACTGCAAGTTTGGCATGGTTTGCCTCCTCTTTTTCTTGTTTTGCAACTCTAATCCTGTTCTCTATTTCTGCCTTTTGTCTTTGTAGCTCATTTCTCATGCTTTTGATTTCAACTGCTTCTTCTTTAGCCTTTTCTCTGCTGTTATTAATCTCTCCTCGCTCTTTCTCCATCTGTTCTATCATTTTTGTCAACTCCTCTCTCTTTGCTTTAGCCTCATCCGTCTGTTTGATAGCGGCAAGTTTGTCGTCTTCTACTTGAAGCTTCAGTTTTTCAAGACTGTCCTTCCACTGCATGAGCTCCATCCTGCTCTCCACAATGTTTTTCTGAGATCTTTGGACCTCGTCACTTAATTTGTCCAGTCTTTCCAGCTCATGCTGAGTTTTCGCTCTGAGTTCGACTTCCTCTTTCTCTGTTTCATGCCACCTGCTCTCCATTTCCTCCTTCACCCTGAGGATTTCACTTCTGAGGAACTCACACTGTTCGGTCTCTCTTCTCACCAATTCTCTCTTTCTTTCCAGCTCCTCCCGCTCTTCCTCCAACTCAGCCTTTGTCTCCTCCATTTGTTCTTTTGTTTTTTGGATCTCCTCAATTTTCTTCTCAGTATCTTCAATTTGTCCTTGAATTTCAGTCTTCATTTTTTCCATTTTCTCATTTTCCCGGATTGTGACTTCTTGGCTGTTCTCAATATCCTCTTTGGCTCTGTCCGTCTCACGTTTAATTCTTTCTAACTCTTGTCTCTCCCTCAGCATCTCCTCTTGTCTTCGGTTCAAGCTGTCTTTTTCAGCCTTGATCTCTGCTTTGATTAGTTCTGTCATTTCTCTTTCTTGTCTGGCTTCTTCTCTTATCTTAAAACTTTCTTCCTTCTCCTTCAGCAGCTTTGTTTTCTCCATATCGTTAGCCCTTTGTATCTCGACTCTTAAACTCTCCAGCTCGTCTCTCTCCCTCTGCATTCGAGCTCTGTGCTCTAGCTCCTCTGTCACTGTCTCATACCTCTTCTTCTCCATTTCTTCTTTAGCTTTTCGTATATCATCCTTCTGTTTTTCTAGAATATCTTTGTCCTTCTGCATCTCTATTTTCATATGTTTCACCCTATCAGTTTCTCTTTTTATTTCCTCAACTCTGGCATCCATAGATATCATGTGATTTTGTATGTCCACTTTGGCCTGTCCGATCTTTTCCCATTCCTTTTTGACCAGCTCTCCATTCATTGCCAACTCCTCTCGACCTCTCTCAATTTCATATTTCATCTCTTCCAGATCCTTTTCTTTTATTAAGATATCTTGCCATTTCTTTTGAATGAGGTTGCTTTCTGTAAGCGCTTGAGCTCTCAGCTGGTTTATTCTCTCATTCTCTTGATTTGAAAACACTCTGTTTCTTTCAACCTCTTCTCTTGCTCTTTGAATCTCGTCTTGCAGGTATTTCAGCTCATCTTTCTCTCTTTGGATTATAGCTCTCTGTTCCAGCCCTTCTTTCTCTGTTTCATGCCACCTTTGCTCCATTTCCATCTTTACTTGCTGTATGTCAACTTTAATCTGCTCAAACTGGTCTCTTTGCCTCTTGATGTCATACTTCTTTCTCTCCAACTCGCTTTTCTCCTCCTCTATTTCAGCTTTCATCTGCTCCATCTGACACATTGCTTTCTGTGTTTCCTCAATCTTCATCTCTATCTCATTGATCTGAACTTGTATGGCACTTTTCATTTGTTCCATTCGTTCCATCTCGTACTTTGTGCTTTCACGGTTGCTCTCCAGCTCCTCCTCCTGTCTCAGAGTCTCATATCTGATCATCTCCAAGTTCTGTCTCTCTCTGATGATTTCATCACGCTTTTGCTCTTGGGTGGTTTGCTCAGTTTGGAGATCAGATCTCATTTGCTCAATCCTCTCCCTCTCTCTATTTACCTCTTCTTTATTACGATCCATTCTTTCGCGGATGTGGTCCATCTCGGCTTTCATGTGAGTAATAGTTCTCTCAAGTTGTCTTTTCTCTGTGGTCATCCTGACTATCTCATCTTGCTGTCGCTGAATCCTCTGTCTCATGTTGTCTATCTCAGTCCTCTCTTGCTTAGTTCCTTCCCAAAGTTTCTCGATCTGCTCAATGGCACGCATTGTTTCCAGTCTACGCCTTTTTAGAGAGTCTTTTCTTTTCTGGATGTCACTTGAATGTCCATTTTTGTCATCCTGTCTTCTTTTTTCTCTGGGAGAACTGGGTGGACTGATTCTCTTTGTTTGCGTATGCTTGCTGTTGCGTTGTCTCCACTCTGCAAAATTTTTTTTTTTAATTAAATAATAACAATAAAAAAAAATAATAATAATAAAAAAAAAATATATATATATATACAGTATATATATATATATATATATATAAACAAATTATTATTATTATTATTATTATTAATAATAATAATCATAATAAATATTCATGCAAAGGTTTATTTTTCATACAACTTTAATTTTGTAATAAGTTTGTAGTGCCATGTCAATAATGACCATGACTTAATTAACTTAGTGATGATAATTCACAAACTGGACAGATCCAGTTCTTGTTAAATGGCACTATTGCTATCCACTAAAATTAATTAGATTTTCTAACCTAGTTCTTGAATCAGTTCAGGCTCTGTCATTCTCAGGATGAGATGGAAGGACACACTGTTTAGAGGTGGCTCTCTTTCCAAAGCCTCAAACAGGAGCCGCATTGCCTCCTGCTGGGTTGGAGCAGCCTGCACTTGTTGAGCTGCTGCTTCATGGATCAGACTTTGGGAGATAACAGCCTCAGCAATGTCACTGACCCGAGTCGCTCTCGAAATTATCTGCTCCTTGAATTCTGTCAGAAAGTCTCCAACTGTTGGGAAGGAGAACATTTGCACTGCATTAATAAACAATGCATGAAACAATCACAATTAAATTTTGATTAAATTAAGTAGTGCAGTGAACTTTACCGTAATCTCTGGATTCTGCCATGGCTGCTTGCTACCTGATTTTAAAAAGTCTGAATTGTGATCTGAAAATTAATAGAAATTAATTCCATTGTGTACTAACTACAGTATTAAAAAATAATAAAATATAATTAAAAATAAAGGATAAAATAAAGTGTACAGAAATGTAAAGGTGAAGTTATTTGAGTGTTATACAGTTTTCAAAAGATTTTAACTGTGAAATGTATTATGAAATAGAGAAAAACAGTAAAGCAAGATATACATTAAATCCAGATCATTTTTATACATGAGTATTAAGGATGCAGAAATGGGATTGCTGCATTTTTAATAGACTTGCATTGTTTTCTTGACATGGTTTTTTCCCCCCTTAAACTTAATAAGTAAAACACATTTTGAAGTTATAAATAAAATGCATATAAATATGTTTTACAAGAAAATACTATTTCAGTTTTTCTTTTTCAAAATTTCATGTTTAATTTGTTGCCATGTCCTTATAATTGTTTGTGAAATTTACTAGCCATTTCTGAGTGAAAATTGTTCCTATACCTTTTTTTTTTCTAGTGTAGCTAATATGTGACTTAAGGAACTGATATTATTTTATAAAATTGTTTAAAAGATTCTTACCTTTTGTGTTATTACTGTATTGAATTAGTTCTGTAAAAAGTTGTGGTCTGATGATGGAGGCATATTGCTCTAGTAATGGTGAAGAAGGTGACTTTAAACATTTAAAAACAAATCTTATCTTACTTTAGCACATGCTTGATGTCTATGTAATTTACGTAAAATGGCACGGCTTTGGGTTATCATGCATTTGATTGGCTGTGGGTGGTACAATTTCTTCTGTCTGGTCTTCTCTGATAAACGCAGTGTATGACAGTACAGGTCCACCCCTGACATGGCAATGTGAATTATCTACTGCAACACCCACTTGTACTAACTGGTTTGGGAATAAGTGCATACTAAATGAGAGCCAAAATTATGGCACCTCGAGTAAATGTTTGTTTGTTTGTACTTGTATTTTCCACATACTTGTTTGTGCAGTATATATACTGTATATATATATATAGGTATGTAAATAGTGAAAGTAATGCAGAGAGCATATGTATAGAAGTAATGGGTATACAGGGGGTAATCAGATTAGTAAATTTGTATAATCCTTGTTCGGAATTATCAGTAGGCATTCTGAAAAGTGCCATGGGAGAATAATCAAACAAAATGATTATGTGTGGTGATTTTAATGCACACGATAGTATTTGGGGTAGCCGGAACAAAGATAAAAATGGTGAAGTAATAGAAGAATTCATGGAAGAAAACTCTTTAGTGTGTCTAGATGGCAACCCAACAAGAATAGATAAGAGGTGCAATGTCATGTTTAGATATCACAATAGTTTCAGCATCATTAGCCGGTAAATGCATATGGTCAGTATCTAAAGATAATATTGGAAGTGATCATTTTCCAGTGATCGGTGAAATTCCAAATAAGATTCAAATACAAAATTGTAATTTTGGTTTAAGATGGATATATAAAAAGGCAGATTGGGAAAAGTTTCAAATGTTATGTGAAGAACAATTTGAAAATCTGTCAGTGATTATAGGTATGGTAAAGTAGTGAATGGCGTTTATTTTGCAGTATCACAATCCCGCTAGTAAGTGGTACAAGTAAAAGAAAAAATGTACTTTAGTGGTCAGAGGAATGCTCGAAAGCAATTAGAGAAAGGAATAAATCATTAAAATGTTTAAAAAGAACACTCACCCCAGAAGCAGTCATAGATTATCAAAAGAAAAGAGCTTATGTTAAAAAGGTTATTAAAAATACGAAGAAGACGGCATGGCAAAGCTTCTGTAATACAATAGTGAGGAAAACCGAAATAAATGCAGTCTGGCGTACCATAAAGAAGATGAATGGAATTGATAGCTTCAGAAAGATACCTGTAATGGAGGAAGGTGGGACGGTGGCCATTACAAATAAAGATAAGGTCACAATGTTGGCTCAATCATTTGCTAAAGCTCATAGCATTGAAAACTCAGATGATGCATTCTTAAGACGACAAATTATGAGTATATAAATACTTGCAAGAAAAAGCAAGATTTTAATAGTATTTTGGATGATGAGTTTAATTATTTTGAATTAAAATCAGCTATATAATAATTCAAAGAATACAACATCAGGTAAAGATATGATAAGTTATGACATTTTAAAGAAACTACCAGCTAAAGCATTAGAAGCATTATTGGAATTTTATAATTATAAGCCTGGGAAAGACATAAAATCTAGTAGTTATAGACCCATCACTCTTACCTCTACGCTATGTAAAGTCATGGAAAAAATGATTGTGAGTTGACTGAATTACATTTTGGAGAACAGGGAAATGTTATCAATTTTTCAAAGTGGATTTAAGAAAAGTAGATCTACTGTAGATGCTTTGATACTATTTGAAAATGAAGTTAAAAAAAAGCCTATATAATGAAATAATACATGTTTACAGTATTCTTTGACATAGAAAATGCTTATGACACTTTGTGGAGGGAAGGTTTGCTAATTAAACTCAATAAATTAGGTGGGAAATTGTTTAACTGGGTTTTAGACTTTCTATTTGAATGTACCTTTCAGGTTAAAATTAGAGAAGAAATACCAGATCCGTATAACATTCTAAATGGAACTCCACAGGGTAGTGCAATAAGCCCATATTGTTTAATTTAATGACTGATGTTTTTGATAAAAAAAAAAAAAAACAGGAATAGGATTAGCACTTTATGCAGATGATGGAGCATTATGGAAGAGAGGATGCAATACTAAAAATGTAGTTAAAGGCATACAGGAGTCAATTAAAAAAGTGGAGGAGTGGTCCCTGGACTGGGGTTTAAAATTTTCAGTTTCAAAAACAAAATATATGTTATTCACTATGAACAAGAAGATTGAGCATTTAGATTTGAAGTTGTATGATCAAACATTGGAAAGAGTACCTGTTTTTAAATACCTTGGTTTATGGTTTGATGAAAAATTAACATGAAAACTGCATATAAGTAAAATTGAATGAAAATGTAGAATGATCATAAATTGCATGAGTACGGTTGCTAGTCACAATTGGGGAGCTAGTCGTAGTGCATTGTTGTGTATGTATCAAGCATTGATTCGTTATTGCTTTGACTATTGATGCATTGTATATGGCTCAGCAACCAAATCTTTACTGAAAAAATTAGATATCAATCCAGAGCATTAAGAATATGTTGTGGAGCAATTAAAACATCCCCTGTAGATGCAAGTGGGGTAGAAATGGGTGAGATGCCTGTTGAACTTAGAAGGATAAAATTGACAATGACGTATTGGGTGAAACTTCAACAATCGGTAAGTACTCATATCACTCGTAAAGTACTGGAGGAGTGCTGGGAATATTTGTATGATGGATGATGTAGTTTTGGATGGAAGAGTAGAATATGGGCCAAGGAGTATGGCAAGGATAATAAGATCTTCTGTCCTAATGTACCACTCACTGATGCCCCACTATGGAGAGTCCCTGAACCACTTGTAGATTTGAGCTTAGTAGACAAGCCCCAAAGTGAATGCATTGGAACGGAGGTTAATGCTATTCTAAATAATAAATTTTATTCAACATTTCAAAAATTTACGGATGGATCTAAGGAACCTGTTAGTCAAAAGGTTGGAAAGGGAGTATATATTCCAAAATTTTAAGTACGAATTAGTTTGAAATTGCCAGATGTTTTATCAGTATACACTGCAGAGTTAACAGCTATAATAATAGGACTACAGGGTTGAACAAGTCAGACCAAATAAAGTGGTAATATGTTCAGATTCTTCAGCTTTAATTAGTATAGCACATGCGAGATCAGACAGAGAAAATTTATTAATGGAAGTGTATCTATCTTTATACAGATTGAAAGAGGCTGGAATAATGGTATATTTTTGTTGGGTGCACAAGGTGGGGTATCTGGTAATGAAGTTGCTGATAAACTAGCAAAAAAAGCGCTAGACAAGATGGAGGTGGATGTTAAAGTGCCTATGGGGAAAAAGGAGGCAAAGTCAATTTTAAAGTTAAAAAAGTTAATGAATAAATGAAAAATTAGATGTGATAATAGCTGCACAGGGAGATGGTGTTATAATATTACGCAGACAGTAGGGAGGATAAATTGTCAGGGAAGAAATAGGAAAGAAGAGGTGTGGCTGTCTAAATTAAGTCTGGGACATAGGCTACAGGGTTGAAATCAACACTGGCACTTATGGGTTTACATGTTTACATGGGTTATGCAATGTATGTGGTGTATCTGAATATGTATATCATGTACTTTTTAGGTATGGTGAATATAGTGTATATCGTGACATTATTTAATCACTTTGGGGAGGAAAGAATGACACATAAAGAGCACCAATTAAATGCATATATATGACTCAGGTTTCGGATTTAGATTATAATATGTGTGGTGGAGTATTCTACCTAATCTGGGGCATGAATAGCTAATGCTGAACACGCAGCGCTAGCATGAGCATGTGATCTGAGTGCTCCATAGATTGGAGAAAATATGAAACATACAAATTTTTTCTTTTTTTTCTTTCTCAATCCTTTCCCTTCTCAAATTTCAAACTCATCGCCTATGTAAATTTGCTTGACTTCCAGTACAGTGGGTGGCGATAATACTCCTAAGGGGTTATTCGCCATTAAACAAGAAGAAGAAGAAGAAGAAAAAAACTTGTATTATGAAACGCAACATCCGTCGACGGAAGCGCAGACCAGCGGCGAGCTGCAGACAGAGGCTGTCTATTTTTCACCAGCGTGTTCTTGCTAAATTGACAAAACGTCTTACGCAATGAGGTATCAATTGTTTTATTCTTCTTTAAACAAAATAACGTGTGCTTGATTAAGTTAAATACCGAGGTTCATCAAACCGTAGCAATTTTTTGTTTATTTTTGTTGGTTGAAAGCTAGCCCGTTGCCTGTTAGCATGTTGTTCTGCTAGCCGCCGTGCTTTTGACGAATAAAATAAATACAATGTATTTATTATTGAAGTGCATGCTTTAAAACTGATTAAACGACGCGTTTGGATTTAATCTTTTAGTATTTTTAAACGCTATATATTCGAAAAACGAGACTGTTCATTCATAAATAAATTAATGAATGAACAAACGAAAGAACGAAGAACCGAGCATTAACATGAACAATGATGCTCGTTTCACCACCTGTGATTCACTGTTTTCTCATCGGTTATTTTTTGTTTGGCTCGTAAATTAATCTTTCACAAACATTTTGAGATTTTTTATTTAAAAGGTTTTTTTCGCATATTTTATGTTTTCCTTTTTAATTTACTGAAATTATTGCTTTTTTTTCGCAGAGGAGATCGTGGCAGGGGCCGAGGTGGCCGGTTCGGCTCCCGCGGAGGTTTGGTCCAGGGGTGCGTTGTTTATTATGCATATGCTTGTTTTTTTTATTTAATTGGCTTACTTTAATTTCTTAATATTGACTCGACATTGCCTATGCCTTCTGTTCTCTCAGGTATCGGCCCTTTGTCCCTCACATACCATTTGACTTCTATGTTGTAAGTACAGTTCTACACAGTGATTCTTTGCTTTGTGAAACAATAAGCCTCCAGCTCATAAATCTCTTCTTGCAGTGTGAGATGGCCTTTCCTCGAGTGAAGCCAGCCCCTGATGAGACCGCTTTCAGTGAATGTCTGCTGAAGAGAAACCAAGACCTCTCTC